GCAGCAGCAGTAACCAAAGTAAAACTGAAACTTAGAGTTCCTTTGTCATCTTTCCTCATCTTCAGGTTTTTAAGATACTTGCCAAACTGGGCAGGAAAAATTTCTATCGAACTTACTCCAAGCAAAAATAACTTAGTCATTGCACCAACACAAGACCCATTCACTATTACAGACGTAAAGGGAACAAATCAAACGTCATTCGCCGAATTTTGCAAAGACAAAGTTGACTTAGACTTTGGTTTCTCAAACTTCAACAATGAAGTAAACTATTATTTCAATGCTGCTGGAACTGCTTGGGACCCAGTTAAGTTCACATGCGAAAAATTTGAATGCAAGAGAATAGAAAGCAGACTTGCAGTCTATATGTTGGACCCAGATATTTCAAATGCTTTAGCTGCCAAATATATTGCAGTTCCACTTATGTTCCCTATACACCAAATATCTGTCAAAGACTTTGCAGGTGAAGTTGGAAACCAAAGTGCTGACCCAGGTGCAAGAACAGATATTGCTTTAACAACTGCAATGAAACATGCAGATACTATGTTTGTACTGTTCAGACGAACTATAAATGACTATTCTTGTTTCTACAACCCTGGTATTAAATATCATATAAACATAGATGGCAAATATTATCCAAGAGAAGAATATTCTACATTATGAGGATACAACTTGACATTAGATGCTATGAACTTTAACAACAACTTCACAACAACCATTAACCCTGAAATGCAAAGTTCTATTATGCCATATGTGAAAGTATGGACTCATACAGGAGGTCAAAAAACTCAATATACAAATGGAGACCGTTCAAACTTTTGGCTTGGCATTCCATTTGCTGACTCAGAAGACTTTATGGGTGGTATTTCAACTGTTGGTACTGTACAAATACAATATACTGGTGACAGAGACGGTCCAGATGAACTGAGAGCAAAGAAGTTTACAAAACCAATAGCACTTTTCACGGAAGATGCTCTTTTGAAGATTCGTTCGATGAAACCTGCTGGGGCTCCTCAGATTGGCATAACGACAGCTTCCATCGAGCAGATTTTGGCAGCAGGTCAGTAAGTTGTTCTTGAACTGACTTCTCTCCGTCAAATATTGACAGTACGCCAGTTTTGACATAATATTGTAAGATAAACTTACCTTTAGAAATATCTGTAAGTTTTGTTGTTATATTTTTGTCAACGTCAAGAACTTTCACCATTTCAGTTATACCAACTTTCTTTGCTTTATGAAAATATTTTGGTTCAGCAAATATTGCTATTCTATAACATTTACCATTGTTTGTATAAAGAACTATTCTGTCAATGTATTTGTATTGTTTGTGTGTTGTAAACTTTGTTCTGCTTCAATTCGAAGAGATACTCGAATACGTCCATCTTTTTATTCTAAGTAAAATGTCATTTCCGAAAAATAGAAGCGTGAGTGTTTCAAAAGGTTTAATGGCGTGGCAGATGTGAAGTTAAATTCACCAACTCAAACAAACAGTCAAAGTGTTGTTGTCAATGTCAAAGACAGAGATGTTGAAGTGGGGAAACCATACGAAGACAAAGATGGTATAACAATTGTTCCTGTAAAAGAACCAACATATCCTGAAGTTAGCAGACTTAAGTTCTGTTGCAGATATTCGAAACGACTACCAACAACTGAAAGACAAACTTCAAACTCAGGAGAAGATTTGTCAAGCTTTAAGTATAATGTTAAACTTGGTCGAACACAACCCTGTAAAAGTGAACTCATATGTCATTGCACCTCATGAAGTTTTGAAAGAACTATTGAAACTTTTGACAGAGGCAGACGATATAAACATCAAAGAAATAGAACCCGACATTAGTTTGCTGTGGTGTTTCATATAATGTCATTGACAAGATATACGTTATGAAAGGAGGTGAAACGTTGAACTTAAAGTATAGTTTCCCAGACGTCATAAAAATATTTGACGACCACAACATTTCATTAAAATTATTTGCTAAGTAAATGGCAGAAGATATAATGGTTTATACTATTACGACTAAAAACCCTGAGTCATATAATTCTATAACAACAAACTTACAAAGTCCTCAAGGACGATATTGTAAACTAACCTTAAACACAATGACGACTAAAGCCTGTTTTGCTCTTTTGACACCAGAAGACTTTATTGTTGTGAATGGTAAAAAATACTCCTTTGAAGATACTTACTCAGATATACCACCAACAGGTTTTGTTGACTTATTTAATACTTTAAGGACGGGGTAACATGTGCTGCAACTAGAGCAGGTTTCATTATGTTTGGATGTCCGACTGAGTTTACTATAAACGATATGAGCTATAATACAAAACTTATTTCTGGTTTTTACTACCAACAGTTTCCTATAACAGGAAAAGGTGTCATACAAGGAATGTCTATTCCATTGACATTAAGCACACCAATCTTATATATTGTTTCAAACTTAGGTTCAAAGTGTTATTCGAATGTCGACAGAAACTATTATGACCAAAAGATACTTATGCGTATAAACAATACTTTCCTCTGCTGGTTTGCCTATTGTTCATTCGAATGCAGAATTTTCAACCTTAGTGAACTCAAACACTTTGGCAAGTATAACGTTGACATTAGTTGACGCAAACTTTGTTCCTGTAAAACTTTTATGTCCTATGTATTTGTCAATGACGGCAGAAAGTTTCGAATTGGAAGATGCAACTGGTGAAAGTATTGTATTACAAGAACAACTTCAACAACAAATAGCTCAAGAACAACAAATGCAACAAATGCAACAACAAAGTCAAGAATAAAAAAAAATATTTTTTTTATTTTTATAAAAATGTACAGAATAGATGTTTCAGATTTTTATGACTTCCAAGCATTCAGAAATATGTGTCCATTTAGAGACTATAACAAAGCAGTCGAGAATTTGAAACGTTTAGTCATTTATGTCGACTCTGCCCCAGAATGTTATGTCATGAAAAATGGGATGTAGTCTTTAACAAACCTAAAGCGACAATAGTTTCAGAACAAGAATGTAGACAGAAACTTAAGAAAATAAAAGTCGTACAAGTTGGAATGAAGATGTTAGATGCTTGGGATATCTTATTGTCAAAGTTAGAAGATTTTTCAGTTCGAGGTATAAAGTTCTATACACCTTCTCCAAACTTCTATTCTATCTTCACTGGATATAAATACGAACAAGTAGAATGGAAAGAAAATATTATAGAAGCTTGGTTAGACCATGTCAAAGAAATTATATGCAATGGAAACGAAAGAGTCTATGAGTATATCTTATGTTGGTTTGCAAACATCTTACAACATCCAAGTGCTAAAAATGAAACTGCTCTCATTATAATTGGAAAACAAGGAACTGGTAAGAATACTTTCTTTACAGATATCTTATGCAAACTGTTAGAAGGCTATTCGAACCCGAATATGACAAACTTAGAAAACATCTGTGGCAAGTTTAACTCCTCAATAGAGAATATGAAACTTATAGTATGTAACGAACTTCAAAGTATAGATACAACAAAAGTTTTGAACTCAGATGCTTTGAAGAGTCTTATAACAGACAAAGTTGGAGTTGTTGAAAGAAAATATAAAGACCAAAGAGTTTGTGAAAATGTTGCAAACTTCATTATGGTTTCAAACAATTCTGTTCCGATGAAGTTAGAAAGTTCTGACAGAAGATATGTAGTTGTCAGAACGTCAGATTCTCATATGCAAGATACAGAATATTTTGACGACTTAGCAGAAACTTTGACATCTGACTTTTACAACCACTTGTTCTCATATTTTATGACATTAGATATTTCAAAGTTCAATCCAAGACAAATTCCACATACCGAAGAGAGACAAACATTGTTAGAAGCAAACAAGAGTGTATATGAACTGTTCATAGATGAAACTGACTTTGAGTGTTTAGATGAAAGGTCATTGTACGATTCGTATAAACAATATTGTCAAGAATATGGTTATATGACAGCGTCTAAACGAACATTCTTGGCAAATGTCAAAAGTCTTTTAGACGTACAGAATGGTGTATATACAAAGAAAAATTTTTATGAGTAAATTTTTAAAAAAATATTTTTTTATCCGATAGAAAAGATGGCAAAATTCATCTCAGTAAACAAGTACATGTCAGGACTTAAAGAAGAACTAGACCCATTCACATATTTGAATGTTTACTTCTACCATTTTGAAAAGTCTTCATTCAGCAAAGTTTGGAACATCGAACCAGTTAAGTTTGCTATTGTGACTAAAAATGGTGCGAAATTTGAAGACTTAGACATAGAAGGTTTGTTAGCAGTCAAAGAAAGTTTTGACAGAAGGTTTTCAAACCTTAAAGAAGGCAAAGCATACAAACTTGTTATACCTTATGAACCAAAGAAGACAGACGACTATGAATATTATGAGTCTAAAGTTGTAGAAGTTCAAGGTAAATTGGGTAAAAAGATTTTAGAGTCTAAGCCAGTGTTTACTCCTAAAGAGGAAGAGAACATTGACATTGACCCAGAAATGTTCTAAAAATAAAATTTTATTTTTACATGTCAAATTTCTTTTTCTCTGGAACTGGTTCAGGTTCTTTCTTCTCTTCTTCTACTTTCTTTTCTTTCTTTTCTTTCTTCTTCTTTTCTGGTGGAGTTATGTCAAATTTGGCGCAACTATATTTATGTAAAAGTTCTTTGTCCTTTAATAGCTCTTCTATTCTGTTTTCTATTTCATCTTCAAGAACAGCGCATGTGTCTTCTTTGCATTCTAAGAACTTTTGTTGGACTTCATCTTTCCAATCGGCGTCATCTCTGTCAACAAGTCTGTCATTGACAAATTTTAAGACTGCTCTGCTTAATGTTTTATGGTTCTTGTCATATTCCCAGAAACAGAACTTTAGAACAAATTCACCTTTCTTGTTTACACTATGTAAGATTTTATGGTCGACAGATGTTTTGCTGTCGAAAAGCTTGTCTCGAATATAGATAGCGAAATCGCTAGACATTTTCTAAAAGATAAAAATTTTAATTTTTCTAAAAATATGTTAGAAAAAAAGTTTGCTGACATTGACAAGAAATTTGAGAATGTTTTAAACAAGAACAAGAGGAAGTTAGAAAATGCTCAGATAAAACCCATACATGACAAGTTCTTATTTGCTCAGAATGGTATAACAGGTCTAATTGCACCACCTGGGTCGGGTAAGACTTTCACTTATCTTAAAATGGCTGCACAACAACAAGAACTAGATGAGAAGAACCCATTCTATGAGTTAGTTGTCATTTGTAGTACTTCTGGTCAATTTGACCAAACCGTCAATTCGTTCAAAGATATTATAAAGAAGTCTAAGTTAGTATGTATAAAAGACTCTGAGTTGTTAGATTGGATAAAGAAGTACCAAAGAAGAGTTTTGAAGTATAATGCTATAAATGAGTATATAAATTCTAAGTTTAAAGACCCTAATGAGGAAATGCAGAGAATATTAGAGAAGAAACACTTCAGAAACAAACAGAAAGAGATAGAATACATTTCGAAGAAATTGCAATCTTACGATTGGAAGACTTACCCTCATAGATGTCTTCTTATCTTAGATGACTTTGCTTCTCATCCTTTGTTAAAGAACAGAGAACAAGACATGTGTCGAATTCTTAAGAAGCTCAGACACTTTAACATCTCAGTTGTCATTTGTGTACAGACAGCAAAGAGTTTAAGTAAGGATGTTAAAAGAATACTTACTGACATTATACTTTTCCCCGGATTGTCCGAAGACGATTTCATGGAACTTATGAAAGAGTCCATGGCAGGTAAGTTTGACAGACATGAACTATGGGAGAAGTACAAAGTCATACAAGACCCTCATACTTCTTTCAGAATTCATATCTACGCAAACAAAGTTCAAATTGTAAAAAGTCAAGCTTGAAAAATAAAGAGTTCATTTACTCTACTTGTTTGAAGTTGTCAAAATACTCTGTTATTTTTCACGATTTTCATGAGTTTTAGGCGACCCAGAAAAAAGTCGGTCTCGCTGTTCTTCACTGTTTTCATAGAGTTTTGGCGACTACGTTTTTTTACGTACTCGCTGTTCTTCACTGTTTTCATAGAGTTTTGGCGACTAAGTTTTTTTACCTACTCGCTGTTCTTCATGATTTTCGTACGGAATCTCTTCTCTCGGTTTTCCGAGGGAAGCAAGCATATGAGGAAATTCATGAAATTTGGTCATTTTTCAGCAAAAATAATGTTTAGGTGAAGAGGTGAGATCTCACCTGTTTTCTCACCTAATTTTTCACCTCTTTTTTTTTCACAACCGTTTTACATGGTAAGCGTTATTTTTACATTATGACACGAAGTGAAGGTTGACACTTCGTCAAAAAAATCCCTGAAATCATATCTTACATACAAAATAAAAAAATAAAATGACACTTTTTCATTAGATAACTGTTATTTTTTGACGAAGTGAAGGTTGACACTTCGTCAAAAAAATCCCTGAAATCATATCTTACATACAAAAAATACAAAAAAATGACACTTTTTCAATTAGATAACTGTTATTTTTTGACGAAGTGAAGGTTGACACTTCGTCAAAAAAAATCCCTGAAATCATATCTTACATACAAAAAATACAAAAAAATGACACTAACTTTATTTTCTATCTTTCACAAAAGACCAAAAATAAACGCTTTACATGTATTTTTCAGCAACTTCGTCAAATAATTTTATAGCTTTATCTATCTCATCTACTTCAAACGTTTCTTTACCTTTTATGGAGCACCATATATTTTCTCAAACTTTTCAAGTAGTTCTGTTTCTGCAGCTCTCATATCATTACAAAACACAACCTTGACTCTATTGACTGTACTGTCATATTTGAGTTATATATATATGTTCTTCCTATCTTATATCTCTTTGTATTGAAGTCCTTCGGTTTCTGAACGATGTAAAGTAAGCCTTCACTGCAACGTTCCGTATCGAATGAACCATATGTTATGAAGTTATATCCAACAACTAGGTCTAACCATAACAAAAACTATTGGTATAAGACTTTTGTCTATAAGATATGCTCTTGTTCCATGAAATGCTACTGATATCATAAGCTCAGGATTTCTTGTCAAAAATTTCTGAGTTGAAGCATTTCTAACCCAGTCCTTCGGTTTCTTTCCAAATGGAGATATAATGTCTGACAAAGAATATTTGTTGTATTTCTTTGAGTATCTTACGTTTAAATCACCTATTCTAACCAATTTGGTGTCATTGTCTATTTTTAACTGTTTCAAACTCAATGTTTGTCATTTCTGTTCTTACATACAAAATAAAAAAATAAATAAAAATAAAACTAACTTTATTTTTTCTGTCTTAAGGAAATTCATGAAATTTGGTCATTTTTCAGCAAAAATAATGTTTAGGTGAAGAGGTGAGATCTCACCTGTTTTTTCACCTGTTTTCTCACCTGTTTTTTCACAAGCGTTTTACATGAATTGTACGATGTATATTTGAAATCCTAAACAGTTTTGTAGCTTCTATTTCTTCTTTTAGTACATCGAATGTTTTAACAATGCCGAAGGTTTCTTTATATTTCTTCTTGACGTCAGATAGAAGGAAATCGTCAGCAGTTGGATAGTTTTTGTTCAGAAATTCTAACATGTCCATTTTATCTTCTGCTGGTTTTTCTGCTTCTTTCTTTAAGTCTGCATAGTCGTTTCTCATACGTTCTATCTCTTTCACGGAGTAGTTATATCTCCTCATTGCTGCTTTATATTTAGAACATTGCGGGTTCATTTTTGCGTTATACATTGAAATAAAACCAGCTAAAACAACTAAAGCGTCAATTGCTCTCTTCATCTCAAACATAGCGGGTCTTATTTGTTTGTTCCATACTTTACCTCTTCTATCTTCATCTCTTATCTGCCATACACATTCAGCAACTAACGAAACAAAGTTGTCGTAGGTCTTAAATTCTTCAGATTTATATATGTCAGAAACATTCTTATATACCATGTCGCAATCTTTGTCCATAACCTTATGGTTGCAATGAAATCCTAGAAACTCATAGTTTACCTTTCGTATGAACTTCTTTATTTCTACTGAGTCAGTTGGTTTCACTTCTATTTCATCGAATTCAGGAATAGTGAGTTTTTGTTGTTGGATTTCAGGCAATTTGGGTAAATGGTCGATGAGGTCCTGCATTTCATAAAGATACTGTTCATTTGTTTCATCTTTCGCACTACAGTCTAAATTACATGTTAAAAGTTCTTGCTTTATCTTCTGGATTTCTGTTTCAAAAGTATATGAAGAAGGAGTGAAGCTTTTCATCTCTACTAACATAGATGTTGGATTCATGACTAAAGAGTTTGGTGCTGTAGTTGTTTGTATTGCTGTTGTGCCGATTGTTGACATTTTTATTTTTTTTACAAAATAAAAAAATAAAAAAAATAAAACTAACTTTATTTTTTATTTCGGGAAAATTCATGAAAATTCAAGAGGTGAAAAAAGAGGTGAAAAAACAGGTGAGATCTCACATTCTAACATAAACATTATTTTTGGGTCCTTTACACTCATTACGAAGAAGTCTTGACAAAACATTTACGTTCATGTTTGACAAAACATTTACGTTCATGTTTGACAAAACATTTACGATGAAATCATGACAAAACATTTACGAAGAAGTCTTGACAAAACATGTACGTTCATTACGATGAAGTTTTGACAAAACATTTACGAAGAAGTTTTGACAAAACATTTACGATGAAGTCTTGACAAAACATTTACGTTCATGTTTGACAAAACATTTACGAAGAAGTCTTGACAAAGCATGTACGAAGAAGTTTTGACAAAACATTTACGATGAAATCATGACAAATCATTTACGCTCATTACGATGAAGAAGTCTTGACAAAGCATGTACGTTCATGTTTGACAAAACATTTACGATGAAATCATGACAAAACATTTACGAAGAAGTCTTGACAAAACATGTACGATGAAGTCTTGACAAAACATTTACGAAGAAGTCATGAAAATTCAAGAGGGTGAAAAAGCAGGTGAAAAAACAGGTGAGATCTCACCTCTTCACCTAAACATTATTTTTGCTGAATTCAGCAACAAAATGAACGAGGTCAGGATGTATGTAAATACATTTGAATTCATTCATAACACCCTTAGTAAGCTCATAAAATGCTTGTTTTGAGGTCGAGCCACTTTTGGCTCCACCGTATTCTTTCAACCAAAACTCAAGAATTTCCTGCATGAATTTTGTATAAAAAAGCAACCGTCGGAATTCAGACTGTTGCTATATTCTTCACAAAACATTTACGCTCATTACGATGAAGAAGTCTTGACAAAACATGTACGATGAAGTCATGACAAAACATATACGAAGAAGTCTTGACAAAACATTTACGATGAAATCATGACAAAACATTTACCCGACATTCTCGTCAAATACAAAAAAAATGACACTTTTTCATTAGATAACTGTTATTTTTTGACGAAGTGAAGGTTGACACTTCGTCAAAAAAAATCCCTGAAATCATGTCTTTACATTACAAAAAAATACAAAAAAATGACACTTTTTCATTAGATAACTGTTATTTTTTGACGAAGTGAAGGTTGACACTTCGTCAAAAAAATCCCTGAAATCATGTCTTTACATACAAAAAAATACAAAATAAATAAAATAAAACTAAATTATATTTTTTCTATCTTAAGGAAATTCATGAAAAATTCAAGAGGGTGAAAAAGCAGGTGAAAAAACAGGTGAGATCTCACCTCTTCACCTAAATTATATTTTTGGTCCGGGAACAACTTTCTCTCAATTGGAGCTGTAGCATACTCTTTGCGTAAACGGTTCAGACCTTCTTCGAACTCTTGGTCTCTCTTCGATTTGGATTGAGATTGGAATTGCTGGGGTGGAGCTTGCTGGAACATCCAAGGGTGGGGAAGTAAGGCATAGGCAGAGGAGGGTAGTTCGGGAAGCCTTGTGGTGGGTAGTAACCTTGAGGTGGAAATTGGTAGTAATTTGGTGGAGGTACTTGCTGGAACTGAGGTTGCTGAGGAGACTGTTGTGGTTCTTTAGGTTCATCTGGTTTGGGAATGGACTGGGTTGGTGGGACGTGGGACATTCGTTTGTGTCCTGTCGGAAGGAAGAACTTTTCCTGTCGGAAGGAAGAACTTTTCCTGTCGGAAGGAAGAACTTTTCCTGTCGGAAGGAAGAACTTTTCCTGTCGGAAGGAAGAACTTTTCCTGTCGGAAGGAAATTTTTTTCCTGTCGGAAGGAAAATTTTTTCCTGTTGGAAGGAAAAACTTTTTCTGAAGTTCGACCAAAAAGTTCTCAATTTTCGAAAATTTGAATGGTTTACGGACGGACAACTGGAAGAGTTCTTCCTGTCGTCGGGAAAAATTTTTTCTGTCGGAAGGAAAATTTTTTCCAGTTGTCGGGAAAATATTTTCCTGTCGGATGGAAGGACTCGGAATGCCAGAAGGATTTGACGAGGCAGTTTACCTAATTTAAATAAACGACTGCGTAAAAGACTACTTGCGCAAGGTCATGAAGCCCCAAGGTCAAGTTCACCACTATTTCTGGAAGGGCTGCCTTGAATCTCGAGACTTCGACTGGAATTCCAATTCAAATACCAGAAAACACTCCTTTCGACGACATAAAGCAAGCAAAGAAAGAAGCTCTTGTTAAGTTCCTAAACAAACGTCCTTGGATACTACTTCCAAACAGAGAGAGTCCAATTCCACGAATTATACAAATTCTCAGAGCACTGTTCCACTTCTCAGGACAACCGTTCTACATAACCTGTGAAGGCGACATCCAACCAGTTCAGTAAACCTTAACGTTTAACTGCACTTTTTTATGTTTTTTGTGAAAGTGTCAAAAATAAATTGTTTTCATGAGTTTTCTACGATGTTAGAAAAAAATGTTATTTTCTAATATCTTCACATTCAATACTTTTTCAGCACTTTTCGTAGTTATATATGAAAGACAATTCGAGATAAAAGTCATAGTACAATGGAATAATATGTTGCACACCATTTGTTGTGAACCAAACTTGAAAGTCAGAGAAACTGTTACTAGGTGGTTCGTGAATTTAGAAGCAAAGTCATAAAAGTCTTACCAATACATAGAAAACTATTGTTGCTTGAACTGAAACTTGCATGACACATAACATTTTGAGGGTCAAACACGTTTCTATAAAACTGTCAAATCTGCTGGTGGAAGTATAAATTTAAATGGACCATCTGGTGGTAATGTTTCGTTCTGGTTTAGTAACCGAAGAAATTGTGCCCAAGAACGTTTGTCTACTTTCCAAAATAAAAACTCTGTATCTCTTGGAGGTTAATTTCAATCTTTTGAAATGAAACGGTGGAGTTCATCTTGTCATATTCTAGTTTCAGATAGTATGTTCCATTTAGTAAAGAGTCGTATTTTTCTTGAAATTCCCAATAATATTTGTTCATTTGAGTTTGAAAGTCATTTAGAGTTTTCTCAAGACTTTCGTCTGAACGAACTGTAAAGATTCTCATTTCGTCAAATTTGTCTATTAGACCATCAGAACCTTTATACTGCCCATGAAAATATACTGCGAACATAAATGCGTTAGTTCTATTTGAAAACAAAACTCTTCTAAATCCTATTGCCTTTGCATCTGAAGGACTTTGAAGCCAACGAATTGGATAGTCAAACCTGTATGTTCGGGATGAAATTTCTTCATCTGAAATAGTCCTACCAGCATTTGTAAAGATATAGTCTAACGGTTTTGTATCTGCTACTTTTGTTCTTTGTTTTTCAACCTGAAGCATTTAATATATGTAAAAATATATTGTTTTAAAATGGTATGCCATTTCATATTTCTCATCTAACAAACAAGTTTCCCAACGGTCTTCTCCAACAAACTCAGCGTACATTTCAAATAAAATTTAAAAAATGTCACTTTTTAAAAAATAAATTTTTACTTCATGCAATGTTCACTAACATCGAAAGGCATGTCCATAAGACGTTCTTCTTCTAACCTCTCTAGTCTGTTTGGATAATTTGCACGTGCTGTTTCCAAATCCATTTCGTAGCGAAGACCAGACAATTTGTCATAGACTTTTATGGGTCTTCCCTTCCTATATTTAAAATTCTTCGAAACTCTCCAACCATATCTTTGCAACTCTGCTTTTATTCTAGCAGATTTTCTATCCATTCTATATGGGGGCATTTTTATAAAAATAAAAAAATATTTTTTCTTTACTTTACATAACCACCTGCTGCCATAAGTCTTTGACGCCAACCCATACCAGCTAATGAAGGTTGACTTGGTTTAGTTTCCAAACTAAACTTTGGTTTTGGTTTATCTTCAGTTTTTGGTTTTCTTCTTCTATCGGTTTTTCGTCACTTTTCGGTTTCTCTGACTTTACTTCACTTGCAGGAACAGTTGTGTCGTCAACATCTTCATAAATATCATATGCCATTTGTTTTTGTTTTCCTTTCAACTTTTTGTGTTTGTTGTAAAGTTTAGAATATTTCGACTCTAAGTCAATGAGATGTTCTATAATGAACTGTTGGTCAGTGAAGTAAACTTTTCCATCTGTTGTCTCGAAAGCTCCTTCAGACTTCAATATTTTATTTGTGAGAGTCTGTTCTTTTTTTTGAGATACTTGCCGTTCCATTTTTATGAAAAGTGACTTTGTAGTTAGGGTTTGTATTTCCAGACCTGGCACTTTCTATTATTGAATTTTTCTCTTCATCTGTAAGTTCTTTGACAGGTTTTGACAATGGTTCTGAACTTTTTGTTTGTGGTGTCAAATCTACCGTTTCAACTTCTTCGGTCATTTCATCTCAGTAAAAAATTTTAGTTTGGTTTGTTTTCAACTGGTTGTTGTTGTTTTTTAAGTCGGTCTAAAACTTCCTGAGGTATAGGAAGAACTTGACAAACACGTTGTGTAACTGCTGGAAGCCGACAAATCCATCTTGAACCCATTTGTCTCAATGCTGTATTGTTCATTTCATCTCAGTAAAAAACTTTACATTCCCCACGTTTGAGGCGGTTGAGGTTGGTTATTGTTTACCCATTGTTGTGCATGGTTATATCCTCTGTTAAAGAATCTTTCACCTTGGTCCATATAGTGTCCTGCTTGGTTATAGTAGTCATTTGCTTTGTTATAATAGTTTCCTGCTTGTCTTCCTACATTGTCCATCCATCCTTGAACTTTTCCTCTTGTTTCAGGATTTGGAATAAGATTTGTTGCATCTCGTGCTACATCCCAACCTTTCTGTACAGTTTGTATAATAGGTTGTGCTTTCTCTTTAAGTATACCTAATGTACTCAAAATCTTCCTTCCAACTCCAAATACACCTCTGGCTATTGTTCCCACTGCGGGCAAAAATCTAGATGCAACTCCTGCTAATGCGCCAAATAAACCCATTTCTTATAGGATAAAAATGACGAATCCAAACAAGGACCCCTATGTTTCTAAAGCGACAAAGAAAGCACTCATGATAAAAATCTTTAGTTCAACACCAAATGCTTGGTTTATGGATATCTTGGAAAACATTCCGAGAGTTAGAACAGATGGACCACCATACTGGCTAATATTTGTCGGTCAAAACACAAGATACTGTGAAGCCATACCATTATGGTCCAAAAATATTTTAGATGTGAAAACTGCTTTGACAATATTCGTTGACAAATACCATCCAACAAAACTGACATCTGACTGTGAAAGTTCTTTCAAATCAGATGATGTAAAAAACTATCTGCGTTCAAAAAATGTAAACCAATATTTCATTGTCGACCAAAACCATTCTGCTCTTGGTGTCATTGACGGTTGTATAAAAATGTTAAGAGACTTAAACCAACCACAAGGTGGTGAAGCAAATGAAATGTCATATGACGACAAATATAGACACTTCTCCATGGCAAAGATGAGACAAGTTTTAAATATTTACAATAGCCGTAAACAAAAAGGTTTGGGAAACCACTCCCCCGAAGAAATGAAAAACAACCCTGACTTAGAGAAAGACTATATATTTAATAATTTAGTCAAAAGAGACAAACAAGAAAGAATGCCGGGCTTCAAACTTCAGAAAGGTGACAAAGTAAAAATAGAAATCCCAAACCGCGACCCATATGAAAATACTATTGACTATGACAACAATGGGAACCCGACAGGTACTCACATTCGTGTTCGTAAAAATAGAAGAAAGTATACAAGAGAATATTATGAAGTTTTAGGCAAACATGGCAAAATGTACACACTGCAAGCAGAAGATAAAACTACTATTGTCAGACCTCGTTTCAAACTTGTCAAAGTTCAAGGTGGTATACTTTCAAAGACAGTTCCTAACAAATATAAGACAACTCCTGACGAATATGCTAAAGAAGTTGAAAATGACGACTAAGCATTTCTATACCATGCGTAAACTGTCATGTAAGGTGGCATGTATTCTTTACTTTGTCCCGTTGTTTGCGTATATCCTGAAACGCGATGTGTATGGTTTCCTCCTCCCTCAGTGTTACTCCAGAAACAATTTATAGCAAACTTAACGTTGTCTTTAACATCATATCCTTTACCTTTTGTCATTGCTGACCAATCCCAATATCTATGCTTATGCCAACCTGCTTGAGATGTACTTAAATCTATGTAGTGACTGTGTGCAGGTAAATTTTCACCTGAAATCGTTTTACTTCCACCTGTTTCCTTTGAAGAGTTTGCACAATACAAAAACCTGTCGACTATTTGAGTCCAAGTTCCAAAACCCAGAACTGTTTCTGGTCTGGTAGAGTTCATTGACGTATAAATAGAGCCTATAGGATATAATGTTTGAAGTATATCTGTCTTTAATGTTTGAAGCTCTGTTTTGTCTGCTTTCTTGTCATATAAATCTTGAGCAGTGAATTTAATATTATGTTCATCCTTCATGACATAAACATCTTTACATCTAATGTTTCTCATCGTCGTTATGTCGTCATCCGATGTTAAACCTTGTGGAAAGTTAGGAGGTTTACAATATAATGCATCCCCACCAGTTTCTTCAACCGTTCCTTCAATACTTTCTATAGCAACAGTTGTAAAACTTGTATGTGTATGAGTCTTATTTGCTTTCTTCTCTAACTCATCGTTAACATAAGTTTTATCTGCTTTAAGGTCTAAACATCCTGAAACCCATCCTGTATCAGCTTTAGTTTTTAAAATCTTCGATGTCCATTCATGATACCATTCAGCCCTTTCTATAATTTCATTATCTTTTTCATCCACATATTCCTTATCCGCTTTCTTCTCTAACTTACTAGCCACATATTCCTCATCCGCTTTCTTTTCAAGGCTAACGTTTAAGTCTGTTATTTCAGATATAGAATGTCTATGTCCAACGGCACTTTTCCTGTTTAAGGTTTCTTGTAAGTTTGTAATATTTGCAATGGTATGTGTATGTCCAACGGCACTTTTACTGTTTAAGGTTTCTTGTAAGTCTGTTATTTCAGATATAGAATGTGTATGAGTCTTTTTAGAATATTCGTTTTCAGCTCTTGTCACTTCACTTGACATTTTATTGTCAACATATGTTTTGTCTGCTAGTTCAGGATGAGTATTTCTTTTGTTGCATAAGCATTGTTAGCTCTTTCTTCTTCTTTTGCTATTGCATCGTCTACATATTCTTTGTCAGCTTTGTTGTCAACATCTGCTTTCAAAAGAAGTTCATTTATAGGTTTCTCGTTTAAAGTTCCTTTTGTTGGATTTATACAGACAGTATGGTTCTTATTGTCTTGAAACAGAAACTCATCTGTCATTGGGTTTAATGTCAGTTTTAAGTTTCCTTCTTTCAATGACTCAGATATCTTAGAATAGTTTGAAAAGTTTGTTGTGTTCTTATTTAGAGCTTGCATAATGAGTTGTCGGTTGTGTTGTATTTCTCTTATGGAAGCAATATCTTTCGACATTTTTATTCTAGATAAAATATGCTTCCAATAGAAAAAGAAAATTCAAGAGTTGCTACAACTAAACCATTAGATGAACTTTTTACTAATGTCGGTCAAAAGTTTGAGACAGAGACCGTAAAGCATGAAGGCTATCGTTTTGACTACCCATTAAGATGGTTAAGAGACCCATCTGTCACAAAAGCTATTGGCTTTCGTAGAATGAAGTTCATTTCAGAAGCCATACATGGTTTCCCATTTACGGTCGGTTTTGAAGTTCGATACTATAACAAAGAAAAACGTATGTATGAGAAATTTGAACAGGGAAAACTTTTACAAGTTAGTTTGCTTAAACTTAGAAACAACTCTTCAAGCTTTTCAAGAAAAAATAAACGATATCTATATCGAATATGCAAAACAGTATAACATTGACGAAGGAGAATACCATCTCGATATTATTTATGACAGGAAAAATGCAACTATTAAAATCAATAAAATAGAAGACCTTGGAGAAAACGTTTATATTTCTACAAAATATAACAACTTGGCATGGTATAGATTTATGAGGATGTTAAATCAGCCTGCAGCATATCCAGTACACCCAGACTTTTATGAAGTCGAAAACCCTAATGGAACATATGAAAATGTTTTCGACCAAGATGCTATTATTGTTCATGCTTCATTTTCTGGCGCCCAAAACTCTTTCTTATGCTTGGCAAATGACTTTTACGAAAAACCTACAAAGTTATACGAACCACCAAGTGGAAGTATTTCAGACTTTCAAGTATGGTTTACTACAGATGGAAGAAAAAGAATAATTCCATTATACCATGCGTTTTACTTAGAACTTAGTTTCATATACAACTACTATCGAACGGTAAAAATATAATTTTTTTAATACCGGTTGAGGTGTTGGATTTGGTTGCCAACTAGACTGTGGTGCAGGTTCAGGCTGTTGTATAACAGGAGCTTGCCTTCTGGTTCAGGGTCTTTAGGTATAATACCAACGAACTGACCTACTCTTTTACCAATATTTTTGACACCGTTCCAAATTCCTTTTCCTACGGTTTTGACGCCATTCCATATACCTCTTCCAACTCTTCTGAAGAAGTTTCCAATACTACTGAAGAAACCCATTTTACTATATGTAAAAATCTAATGTCCGCCTAGTCTCTTACGTTTCCTGTTGAGTTCCATAGCATTCTTTAACTGGAGCTCATACATTCTGTTTCTCCTCTGGTAGAAAACATATTCTGGGTCAACTCCTGTGTTCGCGTCATCTGCATAAAGTTGTTTATATCCCACTTCAGGGTTTCTATAAAACTCTTTCCATCTCATATTTGCATACCATGGTGGCAAACCTAACGCAGCGTCATTTGACATGGCAGTTTGCATTTGTACATCTGTTGGCACTTGACCATAGTTTGCCATTGCAGTTTGTATTCTAACTTCATTTGGAATATTCTCTGGGTTTGGTTGTCCAGGTTGCTGTGCATTCGCTAAGTTCTGTGCGTCCATTTAATATTAGATAAAAATATCTCTTACGAGTACATATACTGAACATTTGCAGGCATTGGTTCATCTTCATATTCTCTGTACTTTTCTGCCACGTCAAATAAATAAATGACACAATGGAAAAAACCTAAAAACTAACAATCCGATTTCAAACCACATTTACTTACTAATAAAATTTCTTTATTGTGACACTTTCTCCGGTTTATAGGACCTCTCTCATATTCTATCTTGTCATATCTAAACTCATAGTCATGTATGTCCTCTAACCATCTCATAAACGGTTTCCAAACCACTTTTATCGGATGTAAAGTAAAAGCATGGATGGTTATGTAAAACATCTAAAGTTTCTAAAGAGTCTCTCAAAGTCCAGTCTACTTGGTATTGAAAAATCCCATGTGTTATAGAACGGCGGGTCCACTATAAAGAAAACATTTTCCTTGTCTTTATATTTTTCATACAACTCTGTCCAATGACATCTCACAAACTCTATACCCTCAATATATTTTTCTATGTCCTCTTTGAAAACATTTGTATAGTTAAGATATAAAACTTTTGACATAAGTGTTTCAATGTCATGAACTCTTATAGCACCACTATATAATAGTCTAGCAGATATACTATCCCAGTCTATATATTCTGCTTTTTTCAAAACCTCTCTCACAATATTTTTCTTATCTAATGGTATACGTTCCATCTTACCTATAGGTATCTTTTCTTTTAACTCTTTCAATATATTGTTTGTGTCTGGAATATGTTTGAGACGGTCCATATAGTTGTCGAAGTCATTGCATATAATCTTTGAGTCTGGGAATATTGTATGACATAAATGGGATATATAGAAACTTCCACCGAACAAATCTACAAATGTTAGACCATTCGGTAGTTTCTTAAGTTCTCTCAATATAATATCTTTACATTTACTCTTATTTCCAAAGAACGGTAACGGAGGTTTTGTAAAATTCATTTATATATAATAATAAAAATGTTTTTACCCGAAAAGTGACAGAAAAGTGACAAAGCATGAAAACATATATAATTTGTGAAAGTGAAACATTATATAATGTTTTCGACCCACAGAAGAAGGCTTCTTCCCAGAAGCAATGGAGGAAGAAGAAGAGTCCTCCGAATTCACACCAGAAGACTAACAATTTTCCGAATAAAAACTTCATTTATACTAAACATCTTCGGGGCTAGAGGGCACGAAGTGCCTGGAAGCCCCACTACCTTTTTTTTTTAATTTATGTTTAACTACTCATATCTTGCATTATCCAAAAAAAAAAAAAAAAAAAAAAAAAAGAAAGGTAGTGGGGCTTCCAGGCACTTCGTGCCCTCTAGCCCCTAAGAAATTTTGCCCAAGACCCAAGAGGAGGACCGAACCCCAGCCGACCAGCCGTTTGACTTTTTTGTAGAGCACTCAAAATAGTATAACTTTGTCCGGACAAG